GCCAAAAAAAATTCCGTTAGTTAGTTAACGGAATGTTTGTTAAGTAAATCAATTTGAAACAAAATGGATAATTTAAAGATCATTTTGAAAAAAAAATTGTTTTTAGACTAAACTAAAATAAATTACATAGTTAAAAGACAAGATTATTTATTGAATTTAACCAATATATATCTTATAATCTATGTAGGTATATAATTAAGACTCTTACCAAGCATTTCATTAAGCATACAAAAATGGAGGAATAAGGAACCATCCTCGCCTTTGTCCGGAGCTAGGAATTCCAGAGTCTGAAAGTAGAGATAGAGTGTTGTTTCCTTGAAGCGTTGGACGCATGCCCACGCCACTGGAATCTTTCCTTCTGTGTCTCGGATTGTGAGCAATGTCCTGTTCTTTGTAGTTAAGCATTTTGCAATGTCCGTTTTTCCAAAGTAGGCAGCATAGGCAAGAGCTGTGCAACCACGATCATCTTGAGACAAGATTTCTTCTTCGGACATTATCTCCACCAGTTTCTTAACCCCCTCCACATGACCGGAATTTACTGCAAGATGAAGAAGGCTAGTATTATCAGACAAAAATTGTGGATTTTTTCCAGGAAGCTGACCCTCTTCTAACAATCTCGCTAAGGTATCCCAGTTCCTCTCGTAAGTGGCTTCTAAGAATTCCTTGGTACGACTCCTTTCAATGGGCTCCGTTTTCCCTGCAACAAATTAAGTTCTCAAGTCCTTAAGAAACCTCACCAAGGGATTATAGAAATATATATATATATATATATGTATATATTGATCATATGTATTTTTGAAGCTAAAGAAAAGGAATTCAACAACCTCTAATGCGTCCCTCAAAGAATCTGCGGAGCTCTGAAAGTTGCCTTGATGATTGAGGTCCATCCAAGTGCCATTTATTCTTCATTTCATGTATTTTAGCCAATTCTTCCCAAGCCTCTTTCGCTGAAGTTTTTCCCATTATCCGAGCAAAAATCTCCGGTGCACATGAGATTTGAAGAGCGTGTAGAACCGCAGCATTCTTTCTCTTCCAATTAGCGGTAACCTCTTCATCAGTAGAAGACGGTACATTGCTCGATTCAACAACATTCCAAAGATTTTGAGCCAATAAATAGTTTTTCATGCAATTGCTCCACTCTTTATAATTGCTCTCTGAAAGAACATCACGAACTATCACCGTTGAGGTGATTGTATTCCTGGCCATTTCAACCTATACGTATAGATAGCAGCAAATCATGATATATAACAAAGCATAGATAATGTGCAAAGAACGAAGAAAGGATGAGAAATCTGAAGCTCTACATCTCCCCTCTACAAAGCGAGAGCGGATGTGTTCACTCTTTTATGTAGCTCATACTGGTAAAACATATAAAGCATTAATTTCTACAACCAAATACGAAGAGTTTTTGTAACATGTATTTTAAAATGTAATTATTATATATTTTAACTATTAATTGTATTAAAAAATAAAAATTAAATTTTAATTTTAATTTATCAACCAATCAATCAAAATC